GATAGAATGAGCAAATCAAAAAGTGGCAGTGTATATTTCCACGTTTCAGCGGAAGATTCATTTCGTTTTTGCTCATCCTGTCGATGGAATGTGTGTGTGTGTGTGTAGAGAGAGAGAGAGAGAGAGAGAGTGGGCAGATGCGACTGGCCAGGTACAGAGACAGAGAGAGAGACAAAGACAGAGAGAGAGAGAGAGAGAGAGAGAGAGAGAGAGAGAGAGAGAGAGAGACAGAGAGAGAGAGAGACATGAAACAAAAATAAAACGCCATCAGTGAGTGTTGCTGTGCGCCACGGCGTGGCCGTGGCGGGTTCCACTTGTATATATTAAATATTTTAAGACTATTTAGTATTTAGTATTTATCAGATATTTATGGAAGTATAGTACTAAAGATTTTCTGTTTTCGTGCTTTCGTGCTTCCGCGGAATCCCCGCGGTCTTTTTCCTTCTTTTTTTTTTCCGGTTGCTGGTGCCTTGTTCAGTCTTTTGAGATGGAGATGTGAAATTGCTTGACTAATCAATTTCCGTCCCTTTTTTTTTTTTTTCCTTTCTGGATGTGTGTCTGTGTTTTTTTTTCTTTTGACATATGTGGCCTCCCTCTTTCTCCACTTATCACCCCTCATTTTTCCTTGGTGCTCTTACATGTGCTTTTTCATCTGTTGTTTTCTGTTTTTTTTGCCTAATCCATCCCTTCCCTCCTCCCCCTTCTCTCTTTCTTTCTTTCCTTTATTTCCATTGTAGGGTTCTCTACATTGTGTTTTTTTTTTCCTCGATTCCCGATTGTATTAGTCTCCTGTTTACGGGCCTTTTTTTTTTTTTGCTGCTGTCGCTACCTTTTTTTTTTTTTTTTTTTTTTTTTTTTTTTTTTTTTTTTTTTTTTCTTCCTTTTTTTTTTTTTTTTTTTTAACCTCTTTTGATCTAGATAGATGATATAGATATACCCTTTCATTTTTTTAATGTTTTCTTTATTTTTATTTTTTTTAATTATTTTTTACTGGATAGCCTTCTGTCTTTTATTTTCGTTTTATTTTCGATTTATTTTCGTTTTATTTTTGTTGCTTATGCTGCACGCCGCATGCCTTTTTTTTGTGTGTTGGTATTTCAGCTCCTCTTCACGGGCCTCCTTTTTTTTCTTTATGCCACTGTCTTGACCACTTTTGTGTGGGTACATTCACCGCATAGTACTGCGTTTTCTTTGCTTGCGCTTCATTCTTACTTCCATCTTCTCCTCCCCTACCACCCTATGTTTCTACCCCTCCCCTTTCTCCATTTACTCTCTCCCCCCCCTCCCCCCCCTTTTTCACTTGTTCACTTGTTCATCTGTCCTTTCGCATGTGGTGTGTCTAAACCCTAAACCCTTAACAGGCTAAACAGGAGAAAAGGCGTGACACGTTTAACTATCATCTTCAGCGCATCGGGAGGATGATGAGAACTTGATGAAGAATTCAATTGCAGGATTTGCAGTTCATTTCAAAAGTCAAATACGGTGAAATACCATTTTTTTCAGGCTTCCAAGTGCTCATCCGTTTTTTTGGGCATATACGTTTCGTCAAACTGAAACTGGAGAAATCAGAAATTCTCTTCAAGCTTCAAAGCGCTCATCCGGTTTTCTTTTGCAAACAGACACCACACCTTGTCTTTTTTTTTTT